AATTTAAATAACGAACGAGGGGCAGGCTAGTCAGGTCAATAGGGTCTTCTGAAGACAGCACTCTGCATCTACTGTCTAACAAAACAGCTTAACCCCAGCTGTGGCAATGTTTTCTTTGAATGAACCTTTTTTTAGGGATTAATATTAGCTTCGATTATCTTTAGTCATGAGTTGCTATGAGCTATTTCTGTTCAGCTCCCAAAACTCACTGTACATTTAATTATTTTTCACTCCTTTATGAAAAGGATGAAAACATAACTGTTTTTCCTAAGTTAGTGACATAAGATGTGGGTCTCTTTCTCAGAAAGATAAATTTCACATTATTTCAACAAAGAGCACAAGTGATGTACACAAAATTTCCGTGAAAAATCTGTCTAAAAATTATAAGAGCTTGCCATTTAAAGCTACTATTGAAGAATGGCAAGGGACCTGACCATTAAGCCAGCCTCAAATAAATAAATGAAGCCACAGCTAAACCTCAACCTTGCTGACCATTTGTTTTTTCTTTCTGTAAGATTGTGGGCTTCTTCTCTGATGTACTGAAATGTTGCCAGGTTATGTCTGGCCTCAGAGGGTTTCTTCATTCGTTGTGCTCTGTCCTTGTGGAAACTTGTCTGTGTAAAGTCCCATATCCTCCAGTTTGGGGAAATTTTCAAGTGTTTTTTCTTTTGATTATTCTCTTCCCTACTTTTGTATTTTCCCCTCTTCTTTCTCTCTGGGCCTCCAGAATGAAAGAGGACATTAGACTTGAATTGGTCCTCTGTGTCTCTTGTCTTCTGTTGCAACTTTTGTCTCTGTACTCTACGGAACAGTTTCCCAACTAGAGAGAGCAACTCCCGAATGTTTTCAACTGGAGAAAACAACTAATTCTAAGAATTCTCATGTGCCGTCCGATTGTTCCTTTTACATAGTATCCTAGTGTCATCTTTTGGATGTAATACCTTTGAGAAGCTCTCTAGATATATTAAATCAATTTGTAAGATATATGTTGTGTTCTGAATTATCTCCTTCCTGAAGAGTCAGTGCTTTCATTCATCTTGGTCTTTTTCTTCAATGCCTGGTGATCCCTGGTTATCAGATCTCACTGCAGAAAGCAGCTTCGGTGGGTTTCCTCTGCTAGTAGGTCAGTAGGAGTGCTCGTCACAGGCTTCCTTCTGAGTGTGGGAAAGACATGGTGGGCTTTTCCTTGAGGTAAGGGGATGGGGAGGAGGGTGTCAACTTGGGGGGCCCTAATATCCACATCAGAAGCTTTAGCTTTCCTCAGCCATTCTGTTTAGTGTTTTGTTGTATTGTTTTATTTTCAAGAAAATAGTCTTACAAATTTTTTGGCGTGGTAATAAACATCAGTATGTATTCTGTACAGAATAAGTGGTCTGAGCACCCATCCCATGTGTACACCTTGAATGACCCAAGTGTGTTCAGTTTCACTGCTCACCTCGGCCTCGGCCTCACCTGCCAGCTCTAGGTCCAGAAGCTCCATCTCCAGCACAGCTGTGGGCGGGCCATCTCCCACACCCACCGCAGCTCTCATGGCTGAGCTTGGGCCCTGCTTTTTGCATCTATTCACATGCTCCCAGAACATCCCATCTTCCAGGAAACTGTTAAAATGTTTTCTTCCTTTGATGAGGCCCTCTTTTCCTTGCCCATCCACCACCTAACTGTTGGGGTTTATTCCTTTTTAAGTGTTTTCTTTTTAAATGACTTCTTTTTTTAAATAAATTTATTTATTTTATTTATTTTTGGCTGTGTCGGGTCTTTGTTGCTGTGCACAAGCTTTCTCTAGCTGTGGTGTGCGGAGGCTACTCTTCGTTGCAGCACACGGGCCCCTCACTGCGGTGGCTTCTCTTGTTGTGGAGCAGGGGTTCTAGGCACGCAGGCTTCAGTAGTTGTGACTCATGGGCTTAGTTGCTCCGCAGCATGTGGGATCCTCCCGGACCAGAGCTCAAACCCATGTCCCCTGCATTGGCTGGTGGATTCTTAACCACTGCACCACCAGGGAAGTCCCTCCTTTTTAAGTTTTTATACTTTTGTTTCAGTGGGGTCTCAGGAAAGGTGGAAAGTCACTTCAAACCAGGAGATAAAACTATTATATAAACCATGTCTGATGGTCAAATCAGTTTGGGAAAACCAAATTAATTTATTCTTAAGATTTTTGTTTCTATGCAGATGACTTACCACAGAAAACAGATGTATACTCACAATTTTCAAATATTCAAATCAAAGATTTAAAAAAAATCTATTGATCAAGGAAGTTGGGGATAGCCAATTAAATTGTGATGGTTTATGATTATATTTTCCTTTACTTTTATTATTATATCCTTAAGAAAAACTCTACCTCAAGGCTGAAAGTTTTCTCCTGATTTAAAAAATCTACAATGCATAACAAAAAGAGCCTATACTGGGAGTTAAGAAACTAAAATTCCAGTCCCATCTCTTTAACTAATATACTTAGGAAGTGAGGCAAATTTCTTAATTCCACTGGACTTGTTTCTCCAACTCTAAAATAAAAGAGCGGTGTGGGCTAACTTAGGAAATGTGTGTTGAATCCATCTATGGTCTAGAGTGTACTAGTTGCTTCTTGAACAAAAGGAAGAGTTTTCTCTGGCCCTTCCAAGAGCTAATTGGCCTGTTTTATGGGTGGTAAACTGTGACCAGAGGGATGATCATGAACTTAATTGAAGGGCAGGAGACAAGCTGGACTAGATAAGGTCTAAGTTCCCTGTGAGCTTAAGACGCTATGGCTTGAGGGTATTAATACTTTCTTAGGTTTACGGGCCTGAACAGGGCCATCACATGTACCTCAAGCTGAGATGGATTCGCTGCACGATAGTGCCTGCTGAGAAGTGCTAGTGGCACTTAAACTCAGGGGTTCAGACTGGTGCTGAGGGTGAGTGGGATTCTAACTGGAGTTACAAAGGTGAGTAGAAGGAACAGTGATAACTGTCTTACTTCCAAAGAGACTTAAACACCAAACGCTATCAAGAAATGACACCTAAGCCAGGGTTTTCATTTCACTGGCGGTCGATCAAGCATCCACACTCATCTTTGTAACTTCCATTTGGCTCCCAGGGCATGCAAATAGAAACAGGAGGAAGAGGGGGAAGACAGAGAAGAGAAAAAGTGCCCTTGAACTCCTTCAGGACTTAACTGTCAACAAACTGACTATTAAACGCACAAGAGCAAACAAGCCCTCTCAGTCCTTCAACCACATCTTTCAAGCTCTGTTTCTGAGAGTAGAAAATTCTAAGCTCAATTTGAGTGTCACTGTAAACTCCTCTCTATGCCAGATGATTTTAACCACATATTTATATCCAAAGTACAAACAACTTAAAATGTTTACACTGAGTAGTAATGGGAGTCATGTGTCAAATACAATGGTAGGAAAAAGAGCAAAGCTTTCTTCAGAACTAAAGCTTGAAGATATACAATATCTGTGGAAAATCTGGCTTACAAATTAGAATGCATTGTTTACCTATTCCATTTAATTATAGAGAACATGCATTTTTACCCTTTGCATACAACATCTAATGTCTCGTTTTTTGGTTTGGTTTTGCTCTGCAGTGCAGCCCGAGGCTCTGGAAGTCTCATAGTTCCATATACAGAGTCTCAAGGCACATGGTCACACAGTTTCCTGTCATTTGTGGCCTCCACTTCCTTTAATCTCTCACTGCCAGGGAGAGGCAGTGAAGGATCCATCCACCACGTCCCAAAGCAGAAGAACAAAGGCAGTGAAGAGAGCCCTCCTCTGTGGTTCAGAGGACCTCCACGTGTCAGCTTTCCTATTTGGATACTGTAAAGACCAAGAAAACTGCAGGGGACCAGGGATGGACTCTTGGCATCCTTCTACTGGGACAGAGTCCTGTGAACTGATCGCTTAGTACAAGCCTGTGGTGACACCTTCTCCTCAGCTTCTAGTTACTAGTCATTCAGGCAAAACCAACCAGAAAAGCTCTGTAGAGGACATAGCATATGGCTTCACACAGTCCACAGCTGCCCGCCCAAAGAAAATCCACCAAGGGTTAATGCTTAAGGGGGTGATGAAGATAGCAATGGATGAACACAACCATGGCTGCCGACTTCTTTGATGCAACATGTCTTAGATAGATCATCGCGGTAAACTCAGAACTCCGAGGTGATGTCCAGCTCTTCATTCTTTGAGAGCCAAGGTTCCCCACCCCTTCCCTCCTGGCCATGCTCACCTCAGGCAGTCTCATGCGTCAGCCCCTCAAGTGTACTCATGTGTCCTGGTGAACACAAGGCTCCCACAGCCCCCCAACCCTTCTCTCAGCACTTGCCTCACGCAGTACTCTTTGGATTAATGATGACTACACTGAATATTCACCTGAGGCCACTAGCCCTTTGTTTTAAAACTCAGAGAAGCTGACACCACCTCACGCTTTCCTTTTGCTTTTTCTGTCACTTGGCAGACAGACTGCTTTGTCTTATCTTACTTTAGGTAGTTCTGTTTGCTCCTCTTAGCTACAGAAAAGAGCATCCTCTGCATTCTTTTAAAAACATACATTTTAATTTTCAAAGAAGTTGGTACTTGAACAGAAGTAATTTTTATATACTCATTCTCAATTTGATTCCATAGGTGTACTAGCCAGGCCCACTGAAAATGCAGTTTCTCTCATTATCTCCCCAACACCCAACACCTAAAGGCTGGGAATGCTATGAAGAAGCAGCAAATCTTGGAGGGGAAAACAAAAAACAGAAAGTAATTTGTAGGGCTGAACAAAAACACGAACAGACCCCTCTGCATCGGTTTTTACTTTTATACTAATTTTTCACTTCCTGAATCCATATAACCAATTTTAAATAGAACTTAACTAAAGCTAAAAGAACCAACCAACAACATACTTATAATTTTAAACTTTCTTTTCACTCAGAATGTTTGGTTGCTTGATATATTCTGTATCTTACCCATAAGTTCTGAGAAAAAAATATTGAGATATATGACTCTTTAAGCTACATTAACTGAGGATCTAAACACATCTTACCTGTAAATACGTTTCCAAACCTTGTCGTCGTTGTTCCAAGACTTTTGGGACCCAGTTCCGAACATGTTTGGAAGGGATTTCTGGAGTTTTAATACATTTCTTAAGCTATAAAGACAGAAAAAAACATAGAAAATGTGTTTTAATTATAATGACATTATTTGAGGGAAAAGCCAATAAAAGGAAGTGAACCACTGCTATCTCCAATAAAAATATAGAGGAAAATATATATACACTGAAATTTCATCAAAAATTCTTTCTTTAGCTGTCCTAAATGTTCAGGTTTCAGGACAAGAGTTCTGTGTTTTGGTAGTTGTTGCTATTGTTATACATCATCTGGCATTTCAGATGGGAATTATTTTTCCTGAAGAATTAAGAGTTCAGTAAATGAACTATAAAGGAAGTATAGAAATTTATAATTTCCAAAAAAAATTAATACAACAAAATTTTAGTTGGAAGAAGTACTTTTCTTTTTATAAATTTATTTATTTTTGGCTGCATTGGGTCTTTTGTTGCTGGGCTTGGGCTTTCTCTTGTTGCAGCGAGTGGGGGCTACTCTCCTTTGTGGTGCCTGGGCTTCTCATTGCGGTGGCTTCCCTTGTTGCAGAGCACAGGCTCTAGGCGCGCAGGCTTCAGTAGTTGTGGCACGCAGGCTGTAGAGTGCAGGCTCAGTAGTTTTGTCACATGGGCTTAGCTGGGCATGTGGGATCTTCCCAGACCAGGGCTCGAACCCACGTCCCCTGCACTGGCAGGTGGATCCTCAACCACTGCGCCACCAGGGAAGCCCGAAGAAGTACTTTTCTGATGAAAAGTCTTTCTACATATTTTTCACATAAAAAAGGAAGACAGAATGCAATTGTTTATAACCATCATCCCTGGAAATGCCATATGAACTAGACCATATCATATGGAGAGTTTCTTAAAAGTTCTATTAAAAAAAAGTTCTATTAAAAAAAGTTCTAAAAAGAAAAGACTGATCCTTCCAAAATTCCTAAGCATTAGGTCTAAATTTTGTTCATGAAAACTGAGTGACGGTTCTCAGCTAAGCCTTTCTGGGCAGCAGTCTTAAGGGACTAATATAGATAAAGGAAAATTCTATCGGACGTTGAGTTAGAGCTGCCTGTCACAGGTGCATCCTACCACATCCGCATCCTAAATACGTGAATATTACCTTACAGGGCCAAGTACTTTATATATCTGATTAAATTAAGTGTCTTACAATGGAGAGATTACCCTAGATTATCCAGGTGGGCTCAATGTAATCGTAAGGATCCTGATTTATCGGGAGGGAAGCACGAGGACCAGGGTCAGGGAGAGACTGGAAGATGCTACATGACTGGCTTAGGTGATGGAGGAAGGGTCATGACCACCGCTGACCTATGGAAGCCAGAAAAGGGAAAGGAATGAATTGTCTCCTCTAGCCCATTGATACCTTAACTTTAGCCCAGTGAAACTCAATTTGGATTTCCGACCTTGAGAGGTATAAGATAATAAATTTCTGTTGTTTTAAGCCACTAAGTTTATGCTAACTTGTTACAGTGGCAACACAGACAAAGCTAACACACTGCCTCTAAAATGGAAAGACTTAATGCTCTGAGTAAAAAGTTGGAAAATTTAACTGAGACTGCTCCTTTACTACACATGCAAAGAAATGGCATTATGACCTCTAAGAAAATGCACACAGCTAAACCCCAGCACCTAAAACTGTAATAAAAAAAGTTCTCATACACAAGCATATCTTCATTAACCATTGTAAGCTGAAAGTTGTTGCACACTATGAAAAAGGGGTTTTTGTGCATTTCAAAGATGAGCACTTGTCTCAAGACGTTAGGCTGAGCCCATGCTTGCCTTCTCCCGCCATACCCGAAGCGCCACTAACAGAACACTGTGAAAGTATTAGCTGCAAGCCCAAATCTATCCTCCTTGTCTTCCTCACCAAACTCCTAAATTATTGGAAACAATACTGCATTCAGCTAAATTCAGCTTAAAAAGCTAAATTTCCCACACCCCCTTGCAGAGAATGGAGGTCAAAGGTAATCAGAAATCACTGAGAAAAGTGTTCCATAAAATCTCTTTTAAAGTGGAACAGACTCAGCTAGCTGGTACCTTCTATACTACTCCCCTTTCACCCCCTCCTGCCTAGAATGCGACTATGATGGCTGGAGCTGCTGTGACCGTTTGCCACCATGAGGAAACTCTTAGGATGGAAGACAGGTGTCCAGATGAGCAAGCAGAAAAAAGGACTTGGTGCCTGCACACTGCCTGGAGCTGCCACAACACCCCAGACTGCCCGCCTCCAGACTTGCTTTCTAAGAGGAAAAAAATAGCCCCCCTGCCTTTTTTTTAAGGTTACTGGTATTTGGACTTCCTGTTTCATATACCTAAATTCAGTTCTGGTAGATATTACAAAAAGAAAAAGGCCAAAGGGAATAGGCCTCAGAACAACACAGAGGACAGGGCAGGGAGGAAGGGGCAATCACCAAGCAAGAGATTAACAGCTTTCTAAAAAGACGGAAAGCAGAAGCATGATCTAAAGAAAACACTGGAGCAGAGGAAGCCCCAGCCCAGACCTCCTCAGGAAGGGACTACAGAGGGTCTGGACATCAATCTTCTCAGCAGCCTGAGAGGCTCTGTGCTCAGGACTGGCATAAGAGGAGGAGGGAGTGGGAAGAAGGATCAGTCTATGCCCCAGCCTGTGCCAAAGACCACAGAGATGACTAGAAGCCCAGTGTCATCCCTAAGCATGCACACCCTCCCCCAGTAAAAAAGGGTCAGTGATCCTAAAGAACTGAATGAAGTGTTTGGGTTGAAGAAGGGTAGTTGCCATTCTAGTCATTCTGGTTTTCATGGGGTCCCCAGCCTAATATCTGCCTCTCTACCCTCATTCCCTATAATGAAGCCCTTAAATTAACACACTCCACAGATACCAGACTTATGTACCCAAAGCAGAGGAACCAGTGACAAATACCCAGAATAACTGGATGGGCAATCAAAGATCACTTTCATAGGAAAGCCAGCACTATGAAAGAGAAAGGACAAGAAAAACAAATGGAACAACTAATCCCAAAGGAAACAGAGAAATCAAATAACAGAAGAGATCTTTAATATCCGCAGGGAGATTTGAGAAGATATTGCTTCTATAAAACAAGAACAGGATTTTAAAAAACCCAAGAACAGGTTGCTATGAAAAAGAAACCATCAGAGAAGAAGAAAGAGATGACAGAAATTAAAAAAACATAACAGAGAAATAAGTTAAAAGAGGTAGAATATAAAATGATGGAAGTCTCTCAAAGTGTAGCATAAACAAAATGAGAGAAAGGGTAGGTGAAAAGATAAAACACATATCGGATTAATCTAGGAGATTTAATATGAAAGTAATAAGCCTTTCATAAAGAAGACATTTTCAAAGAAAAGCCATTTTTATAGGACCTAATATATGTCTTCAGATTAAGGACCTATTGAGTACCAGCATAATGTGTAAAAAAGGATCCACATTTACTGACATTTATCAGTTGAGATTTCAGAATATTGAGGACAGAGAGAAGACAGAGGGAAAAACATTAGTTGGCAAACAAAGGAAGCAGAACTGTATTGGCAACTGACTTGTCACCAGCAACAATGGATGCTAGAAGATCAATGCTCCAAAGATCCAATTTGACATGGATTTTTATAACCAGAATCTCATCAATTAAGTGTGAGAGAAAGTTTACCTCCCATGCCTTCTTTTACCCAAATTTGAGCATGTAATTCCAGAAAACTGAGAAATTAAACCAAGGAAGAGGAAAAATAGGATCAGGACTCATAGCTCTACCCCATCAGCATGGGGAAGGGAAACCCAAGGGCAGCTGAGCACAGCAGGCCTAGAGAACTATCAGTCTAGGTTAAAGCAAAAACCTCCACGAAGAAGGTGGATTCCATGTAGCAGAGAGTATGGAGAAGATGGATAAATTTAGGATTTGTTAAAGTACATTATTCTTTTGTCTATCAGAAAAAATAAGTTCTAGGGTAAACAAAGAGCCCCTGAAGAAGGTCATGGAACAGAAGACACCAAGCTCCTCCTATGTGTTAGGGACACTCCTGCCTTCATAGGGCTTGCATACCAGGAAATGGACAAAAAAACAATAAACATGTTAATAAAACAGGGTGAGGGCAGAGAGTAACAGACGGGGGTGTGCGCTGGGGGGCAGCTGGGGAAATGACTGTGTGAGGTGAGAATGTCTCAGGAACCACCTGAATCATGCTGGGAGGGAGCCAGGGTTAGGAGCTGGAGAAGGGCCACTGCAGCAGAGGCAGCAATGGAAAGGGAGGGCCGAGCCTGGTGTTCCAAACTCAGCAAGGAGGAGACGTTTCAGAGAGGTGCAGCATCAGACACTGTAGGGCCTTGCAGGCCGCAGAGGGAATTTGCTTATCATTTTACATGGGAAGCAAACTCAATGTCTTAAGCAAGGGAATGATCTGATAAAATTTTTATTTTAAAGAGCTCGTGCTAGATTCTATGAACAAGATGGACTGTAAGGGGGTGGAATCAAAGCAGGGAGACCAGTCAGCAGCTCCTGTAGGAGTCCAGGCAAAAGACGACTGTGACGTGGACTGTGGTCGTGGCAGTGGAGGTGGGGAGAAGCAGAAGGCTGCAGAGTAGGTGAAAAGTGGAGGTGATAGAATGACCCCAAGACTTTGACTGTTTCAGGTCTTTGACCTCAGCTGGCAGCGCCCTGTTTATGAAAGGTGGTAGAATGCCAGGTTTAGACTAGGTGGCAGAGAACATTATTTATCTCCCCAAATCCACCGTCCCTCTCTTCTGTAGAACAGAACTCCTAATTTTGAGCTAAGTACATGACTGCCCAGAATAAAGAACACATCTCCCAATCTCCCTGGAAGCTATGTGTGGGCGTATGACTGAATTCTGGACAAAGGCAAGTAAACAGACATGTCCGCGCAACTTTCAGGAAGTGTGTTCTTAAAGGGAAGGACTGTTCCTTCTTTCCCTTCCTCCTTCCTGCCGGCTGACTTGCCCATGTAACGGCTAGACCTGGAGCAGTCACCTTCCACCATGAGATGGAAGCCTTGTGTTGAGAAGAGGGAAACCACAAGAGGAAAGCCTGGGTCCC